CAGAAAACGAATCAATAATTGTTTTCAATATAACAACCTTTGTTATTGGAGGCGTTTGAAACTGCTTTCTTTCTCATCTTCCATTCAGCACAGCGCCGGGCCAAAGGTCACCGCGCCGGCAGCATTGACTTCGCGGTATCAATGAACACGGTTTCCACTACACACCACGGGAATAATTAGCATGTTTTATTTCGATTAGATTTATTTGTGTTTGGTTTTTAATTTTTCTCTGCAAATACAGTCCTCAGATGGAACAGAGTCAATTTTCTTTCCTCCGCTGCCTGCACGTTCGTAGCCGTCGGCACCCGGTGCTCCGGCTTACCGGCGCGGTGAGGAAAATCGACAGATACATCGAAATACAGTGCAAGCGAAACAAAGCGAAACGAAGCAAGTGTAAGATTAGGTAAAATGAAACGAATAAAACAGAGGCAAATTGGCAAATAAAAAGTTCACTTTGCACGCGTGCAGTATGCCGCGGGCTCGGTGTCGCTCATCATTTTCTCCAGTCCCCAGCATACGCCCCGGTCTGCACATGACCCGCAGATTATTGGACACCAGATAAGGTAAAAATAATTGGAAAAAATAGAATTAATCATTGCAAGTAAACACCGACAGTCCGTTTTAAATGCAACTGGCCAGTGCGAACCTACCCTCAGCCCACCCGCAGTTCGACAGCAATTAATGCGTGTCAAAATCACACCGAAGCCCATATATGGGCCATAATATGTGGTTTATTTTGTGTATTATATTTTATTGTATTGCATTATATCATAAATCTTTTATTATACTCTCGTCATATCGTAAATGCACGGAATATGCTGGGGAGTTTTGACCTGCAGAAGCGTTCTACGCGCTGCCAACAGACCGGCTGGATCGGGAAGAGAACCGATGGTCAGCGCACCCAGAGGTCCTTCTGCCGAAGGAAACTCAAGGCCTCAATTAAAACATTTCTTTGCCTTATTTTTAACTACGTTGATTTCTTTGCCTTCTAACGTTAATTTCCACAGTGGTAGAGCGCCAATTCAACCGCCATTTTAGCTTGGACAGAGTCGAGACAGAGGCGGCAACAGCATATTCTGTTGGCCACGCGCCGCGCGCCTGTGGTCTTGGCGTTCGTCTTTGCATCATTCTTTTGTAGTATTTTTTGCACTTAATTGTTTGAATGTATTGTTTGCAGTTGTGAATACCGGGGGGTCCTCGTGCTGCTCGCTCTCCATTGCGCCGCCCTGTGCACTTCCCCGCCGAGAGCTGCAGGGGCCGCAGGCGGCACCATGGGGTCGAGGCGTCTTTTTCAGGCCAGTTTTGTGGCATTTGTTTTGTATTTTGATTCTTTGCCTTCCTCTTCCTTTGGCTTCCAACTGAGCGTTGCCAATGAAACGCCCTCCACAGGAGAAGAAGGCCTCCGCAGCCAACCCTTCCTGGGCACGGCAGACGCCTTCAAACCTCCCCTCTCCTCGAACCCCAGCTTTCTGCAAAAACAACTGCTTAAGCGACTCAGAAGAGACAAGAAAAAGACGCCGCCAGTTCCGGATATCAATTCACGAGTAGAGAAGAACCTAGATCTGCCTTTTTCAGCAGCTGCAGACGAGAAGCGCTCGGATCCTACAGTGCCTCAACTCCCCTCTGAGTGTGTCCCATCGGGAATGCGAGCTCCTCCGTCTGAATGCTCCGGCATTTATGGAGCTGATTGGGGGCTGAAGGGCCGAGGCGCCTCGGGGAGCCTTCGCCGGGGAGGCCCAAGTCGGGGCAGCGTCGCAGTGCCGCAGGTTTCGTTGAGTCATGGGGCGGAGGCAGGCGCAGGACAGCCAGTGCTGCAGAGGTCTGGTCGAGGCTCAACTAAGGTTCCAATCAGCGAGCGGAGATATGCACCGCAGGGTGAGCCTACGGATCCAGCTGCACAAGCAACAGCAGAGGCACTGCTAAGAGAAATGACAATAAGCCAAACAACAGGGAGCTGGGGAGGGAAGCCAGAAGTGTCCCCTCCAGAGCCCGAAACTTTTGACGAAGCAAGGGATAGGTTGCAAGCAATGTTGGGTGGCCAGGGGACCTCTTCAAGGGGCACTCTACAACGACAAAGGGAAGAAACACCAAGAACAGAAACTTCATCAGGCACCCTGCCGAGACCTCGGGCAGGGCCACCTTCTCATCCATTCTCTTCTCTAGATCGTTGGTACCCCGTGGGGCAGCCGGCTCTACAAGAGCCCGCTCAAGACTGGGGAGGGTATGGAATGCCTGGTGTCGCCGCCGGACGAATACGAAACCCATATCTGGACACAGAAGAAGGAACAGAAGGCCCTCAAGGACCGACCCAACCAGCACAGAGAGGGCCAGGGGGACACGAAATGCCTCCTCCACAACCTTATCCACCCACGAGATCTTCGACCCTGCCGAGACCTGGTACAGGGCCGCCTCCTCAACGAACCTCTTCT